AGGTGAAAGTGTGTTTGTTTGTTTGTTTGTTTGTTTGTTTGTTTGTTTGTTTGTTTGTTTGTTTGTTTGTTTGTTTGTTGGTCTTTCTTTCACGTCGAAACGGCTTGGCGGATTGGCGTGATTTTTTGTGTGGAGATAGTTGGAGGATTTACTTTATTGATAAAAACCAACTTAAAAAAAAGACTAAAAATTAAGAAATAACTGATTGGCAGTTTTCCAAAGGTGAAAGTGTGTTTGTTTGTTTGTTTGTTTGTTTGTTTGTTTGTTTGTTTGTTTGTTTGTTTGTTTGTTTGTTTGTTTGTCTTTCTTTCACGTCGAAACGGCTTGGCGGATTGGCGTGATTTTTTGTGTGGTACATAGTTGGAGGATTTACCGCGGGAGATTATCATTTTCGGAAAAACACGTTATAATACAATCCAAAAAAAATATTTGTGATCAGAATTACTTGAAACTTGGTATTAATGCTCTTCTATACAATTAATTAAATACGTGTTTTAGCATTTTTCGAAATTCATCCCATAAGGGGTAAAATAGCGGATGAAAGTTTGTATGAAACCTACTATTTTAGAGGTTTTTTGTAGTTTTAGCGCGAGTGAAGCCGCAGGTTCTGCAAGTATTTAATATTTATTCCTATTATTTATTCGTAAACAAAAATAATTACTTGATAAGAGTAACACATGGATTTCATATCTAAAAGGAGTTTTTCTTGTATTGTATATATGTACATATAATGAAAAATACACAAATTGTCTTGTCTTAGATTGGTTTGTCAACTATTTAGACCTAAAATTAAACATGTATGTTTTTCGCGGATGAAAATATTATGTGGAATTATCATAAATAGACTTATATGTCATATGCATCAAAACTAGCAACTCTTGAGTTTCTTACCGGCTCAGAACAGCATTAACTGGTAGCATCTTCACGGATTCTCTTGAAATTAAATTGTCGAAATTGTAAAAATTATTTTTTTTCATAAAAAATATTGCAAAAAGAGTAAACATAATTTTTCATTTCATTTCAATTTTCTTGAAGAATAAAATTTATGAGTTGGTAAGTATGAAAATTATACTAGTAGATATGCGTTGCGTTGAGATTAGTATTATTACCTAATAAGTTAAATTTGGCAAATCATAAAAGTGTTACATCTATCCTTTACGAGGTTAGTAAAAAAGAAATATTATAAGCTATATTCACAGTTGAGTTATAATACAGTTTGTATATTAGTAAGTACCGCACGTAACGTGTAGGTATGTACGTGACGAGTAGTTTATAAACTTGGATGGGCATATAGATTTCCATAATCCAAGTGGAATACTATGCTTTATTTCATATGTTTTACGAAGCGACAACTATACTTCCTAAGGGATAAGACTCAGCTAGTGATGTACCTAATCTCTTTCATTTTATATTGTCTGATAGTAAGCGGAATGATATCTACTAAAACAACAAATTATTTCAAGTAGAAGAATTAGTCGAGTTAGTTTGTTTTGGATAATTAATTTGGTTATTATTGTTATCGAATGTTACCTACTATTTTATTATGTCAAGTTTTTACCGCTAAGCAAAGTAAGTAGTCTTTCTTTCCTTTTAAATAGAAATTATGTGTAGATTTTTGATTTATTGTAAAATACATAATTAATTTAACATATTTTTATATATATCGGCGCAAGAACAGAAATTATATAATTAAACTAGCATTGTCCGCGGCTCCACACGCGTTCAGATGACCAAAAACCAAACTCTTAGGTTTTACATATTAGTATACTCTTAAATTACAGTTTTTGTATTTTTTCTCAGAAATGAGATATTTTCCCGCGGTAAAAAGTATCCTATATGTTGACCCAGATAACCAGCTATCACCATACCAAATTTCATCAAAATCCCTCCAGTGGATTTTCTGTGATGCAGTAACAGACAGACAGATAGACAAAAATTCTAAAAACTACAGATACGGCCTCTTTATCGATAATAATGTCTATTTCAATAAGATTTTCCAAAAAATATTTAATGTACAGATTCGACTTAGTTAGAATTTTATAATATAATAAAATAAAATAAATAAATCTGAAATGTCAATTGACTGCTAAATTCAACCTATTAATGGCGCAACGGAAATCTTAATTAATACGACATGTCATTTGACAGCCGACAATGTTTTAAGATATGAATATCTAATAGGTAAATATGATTTGGTATGAACTCTAATTAACATATTACACATAAATTTGTGATGTATTTTAGGTAGGTATCGAAATATACTTATTAGATTTGCTTTGCATCGGCTGGCACCGACTTCGAAAATATCTGGTTAGATATTTATTCTAAATTAAAACCCCCGTTTAGTTATTTTTTACATTTTAGTGCCTGGAAGTCGGTTTTTATTTATTGTTTTAAGTTTTTATTTTTCAATTTTTATTATAGACGTAATAAGTTTTCCAATAACGTATTCGATTAAGAAATTTATTTAAAAAAAAAATTCTTGATGTTCTTTTTTCTTGATTTTGTTTTTCTTGATTTCGATAAAATTTAAATGGGACCACCTGATAAGTACACCCAAAGTTTTTCGGTAAAGTCCGAAAAATAATTTAAATAAGTTTTTATTCGGGATTTCCCTATACACACGTACGTCTACCCACTACTGGTTGGATAATGTTAGGTTTTGCGCCATTTTTAATCACATGGCGCAAAGTGCGTGGGCTCTTGCCCCTGTTCCCCCGCGCCGCTCGCTCAGCTTTTAGTTTTTGGCAGAAACCTTATTTTCTTTCAAGGTTGGTTAGATTAGAACAGTGATCACAAATGACTAGAACTTTTAAGAGTGCACTTAAAACCCGCCAAATCTGATGCTGCGATGGCGTTAACTACATTTATGGCATTATGGTCTCTGTTCTAACCTAACCAACCTAGAAAGAGAGAAAGGTTTCCGCCAATAAAAACTATCAATGCACTTGGTTTTTTTTTATTTCACTAGTTATTCTAACATTACTCAGCCAGTGTTGGGTAGACCTAGGTGTCCCCCCCAACGTGCGTTCACCTTGTCGTGGTGGTGGTGTGGGGGGGGGGGCTCAGTAGTGCCCGGCAATCCAACCGCGCACGAAGCCAAGAAATGTACAGGGAGGTGGCCCATTTCGGTGGGCGGTGGGTGGGAGGTGGCCCTCTTCGGTGGGCGGTGTACCATGTGGGTTGCTCCTGGTACTTCTCTGATAGCAGAGTGGACCTTGGAGCAACCCCATGGTTGTGGTGGTCTGCTTCGGCAGACCTGCCGTCGGGGAGTCGTAGTTGAATGCGTAAGAGATCCTGCGACGCCCCATTAAGACGGGAGAAGGTTTTGTTGGGTTTAGTGGGCAGTACTGGCTTTATTTCACCGGTGAAAATGCAATGCATTTACGCACGAGGTGTGGGACCTCGTGCGTAAATGCATTTCCCAACGTTAAAAAAAAGACCTAGGTGTGTATGGGTAAGTCCCGAATCAAAACTTATTTCAATTATTATTCGGACTTTACCCAAAAACCTTGGATGATTCTAAGTGAACCCGGGTAAGTACACCCGTAACATATATTATAAAACAAAGTTGGATTTGTTACAAATTACAATACTTATAACTCGAGAACGGCTGGACCGATTTTTATTATCTTCGTTTTGTTGGATTTGCCTTTATCCCGAATAGAAATAAATAAATATATTAAAATAAATAAATCCATTTAAAAAATCTTAGCATGTAATAATTTGAATGGCTTTAACTGAACCGTGGATAATAAGAGCACATTGTATAAGAAGTACAAAATAGATTTAAATATCATTTTCTATATTGTATAATTTATTCATTATAGAATAGTTTATTTAATACAAGTTTTCAAGTGTCTCTGTTCAGAGGAGGGTGTAAAGCCATGAACGAGAGCTATAGTATAAAATATGTTTTGTTAGTTTGATACACCGCCTAAAGTTATTTTCGGGAGAGTGGTTGAAATAGTGGTTAACGATGTATGATGGTCCTATTGCTAATAAATGACACTCGGGTGAATGTAGTAGCTGGCATCTGATCCATTTAACCATTCACTTCGAGCCCAAGCCTCAATTGTCATAGCTCCATTAGAGTCAAGCGACGGATGCGTAGGAACACAGGGCATGGTACATGAATTCTGATTTACCGATGTATGGAGAATCGCTTCGATTATATTTATGACATTGCGTTAACTTGCATTCATGTTCTAGTGTTTGATTAAGTTTGATTTATTTATTTGATACTTTATTGCAATTAGGCAGATTAACGATATTACAATTTATATTAAGCTAGTGTTTTCCCGCAGCTCTAACCGCGTAGTACTACATTAATTTCTATTGTAGGGGACGCGACCTACCACTAAATGTTTGATAAATTAAATACAGTCTAAGATCGTTGAACAGTTTATTGATTTAATTATATGCTATACTAATGATTGATGCTACTTAAAGATGCTAATAAATGATAATGAATGCAGCCGGTTTGATTGCTGTCCGAACACGCACTGCCTTTTTAGGCGTGTTTCGATGTATTTATTACACACCTACTAAGCATTATTGCTTAGGTGTTCGGTACAAACCTTTGGACCGAAAATGCTCCCAGGGGAGGCAAGAAATGATAGTGATACAAACAATGATTATGAGATGAACTAATCATACAAGGTGAAGTCAATATTTGCTTAAATTATCATTTATTAATAAAAATCTTAAACTAAAGGATTTACAAATTCTAACGTATTGTTATTAAATTACAAAACAAGGTCTAAAAATAGGAGAGGTCGCTTGATTTTTAAGCTCCACATTAACACTAACGCTGACGGTCAGTAGTAATACGTTAATTATTATTGTATAAGCTACATAACTAAAAGTTTTATCAAAATCCGCTTAGTAGTTTTTTCGTGAAACAGTAACAAACATATATATATCATCCTCAAGCATTTATAATATTAATAGGAAGTATGAAAGTATTTTAAATGTTTTGCGATAAATAATTTACTTACCTATTTGTGGAACATCGTAAGGGCGGCTCGAGCGCGAGGCGCGCAACATCATCTGGCTGGCGAGCTCAGTTGGGATTGTTTGCGTGCGCTTGTTGTAGTTGCGCATGCGACGCCGGTCCCTGTGCATGGGGTAGTGTACTATCGCGTCTGGCTGTGCGGGCGCGGGGTCCGGTTCGAAGATGTCGGTGAGCGAGCGCTGCACCTCCCTGGCGCGCCACTCGCGCCGCGCTGGCTCGGCTGCGCTGCGCAGCGCCAGCGCCGCCAGCACCGTCACACAGCACACGCGCATCGTCGCCCACCACCGCACGCGCATCCGCTACTTGCTGCCCTCGCACGCCCTGACGCGGACACCCACCGGGCGCGTGCCCGACCACATTATTCAATATCCACGATTGAAAACCTTCTCCGTTTTCGCGTCAGCTCAGTCAATAGAATTTGCTTTCTATTTTGATAATTTTCAGACGTTGCTGGTATCTGAAACAAAAGGTTTTTATGGTATATATGTTTTAGAATTTTGAATCTTAGACTAGTATATTTGTATTAAGTGCGCTCTTTTTACATTGTTTGTTGTGGATCGAAAGCAAACAGGAATTATCTGCATAAGTAGTGTTAAAATATCATACACAGTATAACTTTTTCGAACAGCGTCTAATTTACGACGTGTATATTAATCTTATTAATCTATACTATAATATTATAAAGAGGTAAAGTTTATGAGTTTGTGAATTGTGAGTTTGTGACGTTGTAGGGGGTAATCTCTTGATCTACTTAACCGATTTAGATAAAATTTGGTAAGAAGATAGTTTAAGACCCTGGGAAGGACATACGACTTTTATCTCGGAAGTTATCCCTTAAGGGGCTGAAAATGCTGAAAAGTTTGTATGGGGAAGCAAGCTAGGGACGAACCCGAGCGAAGCGAGGGTGAGTGGCTAGTGTTTTAATATTATTAAGGATGCACAAACTAGCGCCTGAAATCAACCATTTTGATATTTATTTATATCCTTATATCCTAGTATAATACTCATGTTATTAAGATGAATCTAATGATGAATAAATCATCAAAATCGCTTAAGCCATTTTGTAATAACGACGGAACTTAAATAAATAAATTAAAAAGTATATATTGCCTTAAAAAGGAGTAAAAAAAGTTAACAGAATCAGTAAAGCTTAAAGTAACTTATGGCAAAGGGTAATAACTCAGCTAATGCTGCTAAGACCGAAATCTCAACCAGCGCTGATTTTCAGTTACACCCAGCTCCCTAGGGTGTTGAGCGGGCCCCCCCAACGTGCGTTCACCTTGTCGTGGTGGGGGGGCTCAGTAGTAGTAGCGAAGCTAAGAAACGCACAGGGAGGTTGCCCACTTCGGTGGGCGGTGGGAGGTGGCCCTCTTCGGGGGGCGGTGTACCTTGCGGGTTGCTCCTGGTACTTCTCTGATAGCAGAGTGGACTTTGGAGCAACCCCATGGTTGTGGTGGTCTGCTTCGGCAGACCTGCCGTCGGGGCGTCGTAGTTGAATGCGTAAGCGATCCTGCGACGCCCCATTAAGACGGGGGAAGGTTTTGTTGGGTTTTAGTAGGTAGTACTGGCTGTATTACGTCGGTGAGTCCCACACGTCGTGCGTAAATGCATTTCCCAACGTTAAAAAAAAAAAAAGGGTGTTGAGCGGGACCCCCCCAACGTGCGTTCACCTTGTCGTGGTAGGGGGCTCAGTAGTGCCCGGCAATACAGCCGGGCGCGAAGCCATGAAACACACAGGAAGGTGGCCCACTTCGATGGGCGGTGGGAGGCGGCCCTCTTTGGAGGGTGGTGAACCATGCGGATTGCTTCTGGTACTTCTCTGATAGCAGAGTGGACCTTGGAGCAACCCCGTGGTTGTTGTGGTCTGCTTCGGCAGACCTGCCGTCGGGGCGTCGTAGTTGAATGCGTAAGCGATCCTGCGACGCCCCATTAAGACGGGGGAAGGCTTTGTTGGGTTTTAGTGGGTAGTACTGGCTTTGCCGGTGAGTCCCACACCTCGTGCGTAAATGCATTTCCTAACGTAAAAAAAAAGAAAGGGTGTTGAGCAGGAGCTAGGCAAAAGGACTATTCCTCCAGTTAACCTCTACAGGAGTCAGAGAAAAAACGTAATGAAAACAAAAAGCAATAAGAATTTTTTTCTTAAACTTAGGATCGGATAGATAGAAACTGAACTTCCCTACTGGACATCCTGTATTAGGTTACAGTTCACAGTAACTTGAAACCTTATTTAACGTTTTAAGCGATCATTAGGTATTATGTTTTTATTAAATGTATATTATTATTATTTATTAAAGGTATTCAGCAGAAAAAACTAACATTTATCGTTAATCTAGTTATATCTTGTGCTTATTAAAATATTCAACTTAAGTTATTATATTTAGTATCGCTCGCTTATTCTGTATCTTATCTATCTTACAATCTAGTGCTGTGGTTAACTCTGTTATTGATGTAAAAAACTGAATATTCTGTATACGCAGCGCTGACTTTACTGGAAATGTGGAAAGTTTTACAATAAAAACAAATAAAGTGTGGTCTAAGTGCTGGCGTTCGCCACTAGCTTTTACGTTTACTTTTACAATGAAAGTTCGTCCTTAATTTTACTTCTTGCTTAGATAGATATGGTTCGAATGAGGTCATAAAAGGTTATGTAATTGTATATCCCGTAGTCGCAATATTTACACCACGTATGTCGTATTTATATACGTGTCCAGACAGGCGCGGATCCAAAGTTAAATGGGGGGGAGGTGTGTCATAGGCTGAAATATACATATAATAAAACACTAAGTTAGCAAAATCTGTACATGAAATATTTTTTAAAAACAATGACCTTTAAACAAAATAATCAAGACCTTAAGTTTTATAGCTTTAAAACTTTAACAGGTATATAAGGAATAAAAATCCGAAAAACGCCCCCGCTGTCCAGCTACCACCCCCAATTGTCCTAATTGACAAATATCTAGAGGCTAGAGAGAGGAGATTAAGATGATGCTTTAGCTTCAACCATTAGTTTTTATATCATCAAGACTTTCGCATAATTCATAAATCTGCATTTTATTAATACACTACTGTAAAAAATTAAAAAATCGAAAAAAAATTGGTCAATAAAGTGCACTTTTTCAATGATTATAAGAAAAATGTAGTTTACAAAGTAAAACTTATCGACTTCATTTTTAAGGCTGTTTTTACAGGACGACCGTACAATGTTTTTATTTCTTCAAAAAGTAGAGTGCAAGATGAAAAAATGAGCCCTATCTGAAAATTGAACGACAATTTTTTCCACTTGAAATTGGGGGCGATTTTAAGCCTCCCGAGACCATGCAATATAAATTTCTCGGAAACGGCTAAACATTTCAATTTCAAAAAATTGGTTATCTATATTAATATTATAAAGAGGTAAAGTTTGTGATCTTGTGAGTTTGTGAGTTTGTGATGTTGTAGGGGGTAATCTCTGGATCTACTGAACCGATTTTCAAAATTCTTTTACTACTAGAAAGCCATGTTCTTTCTGAGTGTCATAGGCTATATATTAACCCGAAAAATGAAAAGGCTTTTTCGTGGTAGTCGTATTTGCAAAGTAAGTCGGAGAAAAAACGGTCGAACGAAAACGTTTCTTACGAACGCTGCCTTAACTATGAGAGATATATGATTATGTTCTAGAGAAAAGTTGTAGAGCTTAATAATGCCTACAAAAAAGTCAGCGACAGCATATGTCTAACTTTTATATTTAAGTCACAAAAAGTAGTTTTTTATATTAAAAAAACAATTTAAATCGGTAGGTCATGTTTATTAGTCATATTATCAACAATTATGAATTCTTATCAAAATAAGCAAATTAATCGTCTAAAATGTTTAAAACAAAATACTTTTCCCTTTTACTGCATATAATTTGGACAAATGGTTAAAGGGATAATACCACATATTCGTAGGTATGGACGAACCCGAGCGAGTTGTTTGTCTGTTTTTCTCTTTGTACGGGCTAATCTCCGGATCTATTTGACCGATTTAAATAAAATTTTGCATGGTGGTACCTTATATCCCCGGGCAACATATTAGATACTTTTCATCCCGGAAAATTAAAGAGTTCCCGTGGGATAGTTAAAAAACTATAACAACTTATACAGCTTAGTACACAAAAAGTACTGATTGGATTTTAATGAAACTTTACAATAATATAGTTCATACATGACAAAAACAAATAGGCTACTTTTCATCCCGGAAAATTAAAGAGTTTCCGTGGGATCGTCAAAAAACTATAGTAACTTATACAGCTTAGTACATAAAAATTACTGATTGGATTTTGATGAAACTTTACAATAATATAGTTCATACATCAGAATAACAAATAGGTTACTTTTTATCCCGGAAAAATGTACTTTGCCCATGGGATAGATGTTTTTGTTTATTTGTAACGTATTATGTACACAACATAAACCCCAAAACAATAGTTTTTAAAAAAATTGACTGTTTGCCTGTATGATAACTTATTAATCGAGTCAACATTTAGGGTACCTTTTGTATGTAGTATGTATGTATGTATGTATGTTGTATTCAGCCCTTTTTAACGTACCACTGCTGGGCACGGGCCTCCCTTTAGTACGAGGTGGATCAGGCCATAGTCCACCACGCTGGCCAAGTGCGGGTTGGTGGACTTCACATGTCTTTCGAAAACTTGCTAGGTTCTGTCAGACATGCAGGTTTTCCTTCACCGTTAAGACAAGTGGTAATTTTGTTAGAAATGATTCGCACATGAAAATATCAGAGGTGCGAGACCCGGGATTTGAACTTGCTTCACTCGGTTTCTCAAGCGAGCGCGTTACCACTGGGATACCACTGCCTAGATACCTTTTACTTAAAGAAAATCTTTCTTTCCCACGGGAGAATACAATAACTGGTTTTATCGAGTCCTCCCTAGAAACCTTCCGCTGGCTAAGCCTTAAGACTTACATACATCAAAACAATATACTAAAAAATTGTAGGTCTTGAAAACTCCTACACAAAAATTCTGAATATTATATGTCTATCTCCTAAGTTACAATCGCAATATTTATTCTTATCTATACCTATAATAAAACTTAGTCAAATCAATGTGCGCGTTTCACGCAAAAAGTAATCAACCGATTTTAACTTAATTTTGTATAGTGTTAAAACTTAGTGCTCGGGTTAACATTTAGAATACCTTTTACGACAGGCAAATTATTCAATGCCACGGGAAAACACAATAACTGGTTCTATCGAATTGTCCTTAGAAATTTATATGGCTAACGCTGGCTCATCAAACATTGTACAAGAAAATTGTAAGTCTTAAAAAGGTCTATAGAAAAGTTCTACATAGTATATGTTTATCTCCGAGTTCCCGTGGGATAGTTAAAAAACTATAGTAACTTATACAGCTCAGTACACAATAACTTATGCTCCTAATTGAGTAATATAGGCATGCTGATACCTTATATTGCTGGT